CAAATTAATATACATACAAATATTGCTGCTAAGGCCATCAAAAAGTTGATATTTTTTTCAGAATTTTTGAAGTACGATTTATTTTTTATTCAGTAATAGTTCAACTTTAATGACAAATTTGGAGGAAAGTGATGATGACAATTTGAAGATTTGGATTACTTCAATTTTATTTTCTWTTTGTTTTTAATTTTGTTTGTTGTACAACAAATAAGTAGGTAGTTAGCACCTCAGACTTTATTGTGTTTTATATTGGTGATAAAGTTCTCTCAAAATAAGTGGAATAAGTGACAGTTATCCCACAGTCGGACTACTGCCGACAAAATATTATGGTCATCATTTTTCTGTCACTTCAAAAAAATCATGTAAACCAAACATTAACGTCAACATTGATGACAATTTCAAATTATTGACATTTCTCTTGGCAAAAATATGGCGCCTTCTATCGTTTATTGCATTGCCTTGTGGAAAACCTTCTAATTTTTCCTCCCTGGAAATTCTTACTCGGTATTTAACATTTTGCAATGATGAATCTGACAGAGACAATCAGTAACAATGGTTGACAGTAGTAAAAAATTAGGTTACCGATCATAATGCTTGTTTTATAACTTTATGTCATTTAAGTGACATTGACGACCAAAGTAATTTGTTCGCGATACTACATAAGAATTGTTATAAAATTTTATTAGATAGTTGACACATTGTATGTAATTAGGTACATAAAGACTAAAAAAATAAAATACATTTTAAAATTTTAATTTTTAAATTTTGAAAAGTTAACCATTGTAACAGAGAAAAAATTTGAGTCTTCAAAACAAAAAGTTAGCGGCTTATCTACTAGCAGAAAAATCTTAGTTGATGGTTCTTCTAACCGAGAGCCGGAAATACTTTTTATTCTTCGATACTGTCAAAATTTACGGTTTTTCTCCCGTGTAAGGAGAGAGAAACTATTTGGTATTTCTCATTACGAAACGTCAAATTATTTTTAACAGATTTAAAGCAAGTTTAAGCCTTGTTGAATACTCTGTGGAATAATGCGTCCGATTTACACTCAAACTTGTAGTATAAATAACTATTTTCAGGGCAAATTTAAAAAGACTTTTTTTTACCTGGTATAATCTGAAAGTTAGTAAAAAATTCTTCTTTTGTTAAATCAAATTTACTCTTTGGTGATTTACCAAAATAAAAGTTTTTTTACTAGTTTTCACATTTTATCAGGTAATCAGAAAGTATTGAACCAAACGTTTTTTGATTAAACTATTTATTTTTTGAAA